AAGTGCTGGGATGGAGTTCTGCATGGATCTGGGGAGCAGAGGGGAGAGGTAAACCCCCCAAGGGGATGATTCATGATGCCTTCCCAGGGAGGGGACTCTATCATGTGTGTGAATTCTTGGCATCAAGTGATTTACACCCAAGAAACTTCTGGTAAGGTTCTGTCTGCACAGGGAGGTGAGTGAGGAGAAAGAGGGCTATGAGGGCTGGTCTATACCTACCCCTGGGCTGCTAGTACCGGTATTGTCAAGGCTTCCTATGCTTCTCTGCTCACTACAGTTCCCTTCAGAGGAAGGGCCAATGTCCAGGTGAGCTGGGGCTTTGATTATCAATAGGGTCTCTTTAAAATTTAACATGACTATCTTTAGTAAAGGAATACTATGACCTAAATCTCCCCTGATTCATACTTTGAAAAATCCTGATCCCAATATTGGAAATAGGACTTTAAGGAGATAATTAAGGTAAATGAGGTCAAAAGGGTGAGGTACTAATCGATAGAGCTGGTTCCTTATGAAGAGGGGACACCAGAGCTCACTCTCTCTGTCATGTGAGGAACAGTGAGAAGGCCCTCTGCACACCAAGAAGAGATCTCTCACTTCCCCAGGAACTGAATTGCGGGCATCTTCATCTGGGACTTCCCAACAGCCTTAACTGTGAGAGAGTCAGCTACCCCGCCTGTGGTGTTTTGTCATGGCAGCCCAAGCAGAGATAAGACGGGGAGGAAGACACAGCTTGGTCAGAGTGGAGATTTGAAAAATGTATAGGGTTTGATCAAGACTATGGGCATTTTGCATTTCAGTGATAATTCTGATCTCTAAAATTTTAAAAATAATTAAAATTTAAACTTTTCCTTACGAAACAGAACTGTTTTTGAGATCTTCAAGATATGATGTTGGTATTTTAATGGGGATGGGATTAAGTCTGTAGATCGCTTTGGGTGGTATAGACATTTGAACAATTTTGATTCTTTCCAGCCACGAGAATGGTATGCTTTCCATTTGTTAACATCTTCTGCTCTGCTATTTCTTTTCTCACTATTTCATAGTTTTTTCTACAGTGATTCTTCACATCCTTTGCTAAGTAAATTCTAAGGTATTTCATTTTTTTTTGAAACTGCTGTATTGTATCTTTGATTTAATTTTCTGCTTGAGTGTGGCGTATATGAAGGCTACTGATTTGTGGGTATCGATTTTATATCCTGAGATGTTAGTGTATTTCTTGATCACTTCCAGGAGTTTCATGGCTGAGTCCCTGGGGTTTTCTAAATATAAAGATCATATTATCACCAAAAAGTGAAAGTTTGACCTCCTCTGTCTCATTTAGATATCTTGATTTCTTCTCTTGTCTGATTGCATTGGCTAGGACTTGCAGTTTGATGTCGAATAGTATGGTGACAGTGGACATCCTTGTCTGGTTCTAGCATGGAACCAGAAAAACCTCAAAATAGCCAATGCAGTTCTATGAAATAAGAACAAATCTGGAGGATTATGTTACCAGACATAATACTATAAGGTTAGTATTGTTGTAAATACTACAGTATTTACTATGCAGTAAATTTACTGCAGTAAATACCAACATCATATCTTTAAGATCTCAAAAACATAGTTCTGTTTCATAAGGAAAATACTTCAAATACTTGGGTTATACTACAAGTCGATAGTGATCAAAACAGCACTGTATTGTCATAAAAATAGAGACATAGGTTTATGGAAGAGAACAGAGAACCTAGAGATAAAGCCAGTCTCATATCACCATCTGACCTTTTATAAGGCAAACAAGGGCATACACTGGGGAAATAATCCCTATTAAATAAATGACACCAGAGGAACTGGTTAGCTACAAGTAAAATGCTAAAACTGGACTCAAGTCTCTTACCACTTAGAAAATTAGCTCGTGATGGGTAAACAATTTTAAGCTAAGACGTGAAATGACAAAATGCTAGAAGAAAGTGTGGGGAAAACTCTAAACAATATAGGTCTTGGAAAAGAATTTATGAAGAAGACCCCAGAAACAACTGTGGCAACAACCAAAATAAATAAATGAAACCTGATTAAATTAAAAAACTTTCTGCACAGCTAAGGACACAATCAGCAAAGCAAATAGACAACATTCAGAATGACAGAAGACATTTGCATGCTATGAAGCTGACAAAGGACTAATAACTAGAATCTAAAAAAAATAATAATAATAACTCCAGCAAATCCACATAAAAAAGAACAAACAACTCCACTAATAATTGGGCAAGGGACATGAACAGAATCTTTTCTCATGAGGACAAATGGCATGAAAAAATGCTTACTTTCTCTAATTATTAGAGAAATGCAAATCAAAACCACTTTGAGCTATCACATAACCCCAGAGAGCACGGCCAACATTACAAAGTCCCAAAGCAGTGGGGTGCTGGCATAGGTATGGAGAGAAGAGAACACTTCAGCACTGTTGTCAGGACAGCAAACTTGTACAGACTTTATGGAAAGAAGAATGGAGATTCCTTAAAGAACTAAAAATAGACCTTCCACTTGATCTTGCAATCCCATTACTAGGAATGTACCTAAAAGAAAAAAAGTCATTTTATCATAAGGACACGTGCACTTGAATGTTTATAGCAGTCCGATTTACAATGGCATAGGTGTGGGAACAATCCAGGTGCCCCTCAACACAGGAATGGATTGATAGATTGTGGTATATGTATACCATGGAACACCATTCAGCTATGGAACAGATGGAGACTTTGTGTCCTTCGTTACAACTGGGATGGATGTGGAGAATCCTCTCTAAAGTAAAGTATCCCAAGAATGGAAAAACAAACACCACATATGCTCAATGCTATTTTGAAAGTTGTAGTTTAACAGCAATGTGCTCACAGGAAAGACAGGCTCAATTAAATCTGAAAAGGGGTGAAGGAGGAGAGGAGGGTAAGCAGGACCCTTCCAGCAGGAATAATGAGAGGGTATGTGACATACTTCCTGGGTGAAAGACACCCCTACGACTTGGACTTTACCTAACACATGTACCCTCATATTAGTCATAAAAAGATATACAAAAATAAATAAAAATGTAAACTTAAAAAGTTTTTAATTAGCAAGTCTGTCAAAGAAGCAGTATGGCCTAATAGAAAGGGCAGATCTGAGCCATGGTTTGCTGTCTGACCTTGAGCAAGCTCTGGACCTGGGTCTCTTGCCTTGTTTTATCCACAGGGAAGGACCAGCAGAGATGAGGGAGTGGCCTCCCACGCGCAGCATGCCTGGCACAGAGCAGGCGTCAATAAATGGTAGTCGAGGAGATTAGAGTAGTTTGGAAGGTGTTCAGTGAATCTAGCCCTTTCTAAACTTACCACGTCAGGAATAGATTTCAGAACTGCTATATTCACTATACACTTTATCTAGGGAACCAGAATTCCTTCTTCACCTATTTTTAATTTCCAACCCCGTGACTTCATTTGCTGCATCAGTGCTTCTCAGTCCCATCTCAGAAAATGCCACAGGGTATCTAGAATTATCTCAACCAGGATAGCAATGTTCTTATTTTAAAATATCTCACACTACGGCATTTATTTTAATTTACTTAAATTTGTGCTATATATCTTACAACATCCGATAAAAGCCATATGGTACATTAGGACATAGCTGAGAGGTTGCTGAGAAATAAAATAAACAACGCCGAGGTTTCCCAGTTCCTGCAAGATCCAGAATTCCTAACTCAGAGGAACATACACTAATCCAGATGACGTGTTTTTAGAATCCTGGGATCCAGCAGGATGAGATTTACGGGCAGTGGATCAGGCAGTTGCCACTGGGCTCCCGCCAACATCTCTCACACCAGCATGGCATCCTGGCATCCTTAATCTTGTTATGTTGCCTGAAGTTTCATCAGAGGGAGGTCCCTGGGGTTGCTGAATCTTTAAAGAGCAGATATGTGTAGTTCTGTGGGGACGGAGTGGGCAGCAATCATCCCCATCTCAGGAGGGATGGGAATTAGTTCCCCTCAGAATATTTCCCAGTAGCACTCTGAGATCAGTCTCCTGGGGGCTGGGACTCAGGTGGTGTAGGGAGAGGATAGGGTAGAGATGATTGGCAGGAGGGAGAAGGGAAAGGATTCTGAAATAGCCCCGGGCCAGGTGAGGCAGAGAAAAGAAGAAGCCTGAGGGTTGCAGGAGCACTCGGCTCAGGCTAAACAAAACAAGATCCTGGGGTCCCAGGTGGGAAGAGTCATGGAATGGGTATTTTTTCATCTGCTTCATTAAGCAGCGTCCAATCTTTAATCCTCTTCCCTGACTGCTGGTAATCTCCTTGATAATTGAAAATGCTTTCTAAAAATTAGCCCCTGGCCCCTTTTGAATCTAAGTGAAGGCCGACTCTAGGCTTGTTGTAGAGACACCTCCTGGTGGCACAACCACCTAGACAGGTGGGCTCTATCTCTGCCATCTCAGTGATGCACAACACTTGGAAACAGACCCTTCAAAGCTTTGCATTCAAGCCAGACACTTGCTTTGTCATTGGCAAGTATGACGCAGTGGCCCTTGTGATTGAAAGTCAAGAGGCTTTGGAGTGAGTCACAAATTTTCCCATTGCAAAAAAGAACATGCACTTCTCACAGTGCTCTGTGTCCCTGTTCTCCACTTCTTGTCACCAGAGGAGGTAGTAGAGCACTAAAGGGGAGATGAAGAGCACTCATAACATAAGACAAGGTAACAGCAATCATAAACTGGGCCTGGGACTCAGGAGAACCATGAACTCAGCGTGGGTTGGGTAGACCTGAGCCACGTGGACAGGTCCACTGCCCTGCAGTATCCCAGCTGGGAAAAGTCTTCCCCACTTCCCTCCGGCTTTAAGGAGGCAGCGTCCATCCAATTTTTAAGATGCTGTGTGTTTCCCTGAGTTGACTTTTTAAAAAACCAGCAAGTGGCTTAAACCTTGAGTGTTCTCCCCACTGCTGTCACCTCTGGATCAAGCTGATCATCCCTGCAAAGGTGAGAGTAGGGCAGGTTTGAGGGGCACCATACCTGGTCCAGCTTCCAGTGGAACTCAGCCGGGCGGAAGGTGTCGGCCTGGTCGAAGTCCTTCCGCAAGAGGAAGACGAGGCGGCAGTTGTGCACGTACAGAGCGTAGTGATGCCGGTTCATCTCTGAAAAGCGGAATGAGGATTTGAGGAGTGACAGAATCCCTGTGTCAGTCGCCACCAAAGACTCTGCCTGCTGTGTCACTTAGTACAGCTCAGGGGACAAAGGAATGTGTATTCCACTCCCCGCATTTCCCCTGGGTACTGATGATTGTTTGGAACATAGATGGTGGAGCTCCCTGAATTGGGGGAGGAAGACTCAGGATAACCCACAGCAGAACTGCTGCTGAGAAGCCACTGGGTCTTTAAGTACCAACATAACTCACATTCAGATACCAAGCAGACCCAGGGTAAAAATTACTTAGGTTAACAAGCTCTTTATTTTTGGTTACAAATGATCCTAAGAGGGTTGAGGGGGCTCTCTGCCCACTCACATCTGCCGCTCTGGGTTCCTTTAACACAGTGGTTTCTCCTCAATTCTGGACTTTTATTTTATTCATCAGACTTGACAGCAGTGACCACAGAGCATGTCTCCTGTCTCTCCCTAATCTATACGAAGAGAAGCTGCCTCACTTTTAGCTGCCAGGGAGAGGTGAGAGATTGATTTTCCAGCAATTGACATAGTTCTGTGATTCTCCGAAGCAATGAATAAATATCCCTCCCCATACAAAGACAATCAATGGGAACTTTGCTTCCCCTGATATGAAAACTTTCCTTTTTGCTTAGGAAATTTTATGTTGTGGATTTCAGCCATGATACCTGTAGCCACAAGACCATTTGGCAGAGAGGAGCTATTTTTTTTTTTTTTTGCAGTTTTTGGCCAGCGCTGGGTTTGAACCTGCCACCTTTGGCATAAGGGGCCGGCGCCCTACTCCTTTGAGCCACAGGTGCCACCCGAGGGGCTATTCTTTTGAACTTAGAGAACTCACATTTTACACGATAGTACACTCAGAAACCTACCAGGAACATGTTCCATAAATGTTGGGTGAATGGGCAGGTGACGATGTGTAGTGGGAAGAACATGGGCCCTAGATTCAGCGAGACCTTGGGTGGAGCTGTACCTTTGGGTGGTATTGGGAGAGCCTCAGTTTCCTCAGCTGTGTCATGGCAGGGATGCTGGATTATCCTATTGTGCTATAAGGATAGAATACTGTGACCAATTCCCAAACATCTCACCTATGAAGTTTGGGTGGGAGGAATCAATACAATTCCACTTCTGGGGTAGGCCCTGATTGATCCTGGCCAACAGACTCATGCGTGTCCCCTGCCATGGGGACTGGCTCAGGACACATGTCCAACGTCAGCAGTGTAGGCCATTTTCCAGGCCTCGGGGCTTCTGTCAGGAATTGGCAGGTGACTCAGTTCAGGCCAGTGATATGAGTGCTCTTTTGAGTGGTTCTGGAAAAGAGCCCATTTCTCTTTTAGCAGAAAGAAATAGAAGAGACACTCTATTTCCCTCAGAAATGTTATACAATTGGGAAGCGTGGAGCTGCTGCAGCCTCATTTGCTATAATAAAGTGGGTGCAGTATGAACACTGATCTGAGAAACCGAGTGACAGGGCCGGGCTTCAGCCATTCCACCTTGATGATAACTTTATGAGCCATCAGATCCCTGGATATTTTCAGTTAGAAGAAAGCCATATTCTCTTTACTATTTTGAGTTTTTGGTTATCAGGTACCACTTCAATCTGCACTTCCCATTTGTCATAGCTGAAACATTTTAATTGATACAGCAAGGGGATGTGTGGGAAGCATCTGCCCCGGACAGATGTTCAGTAAGTGTTACATAAGGACTTTTGTGCTGCCTCATGATGATGACAATACAGGCAGAGTCAGATGCCATTTTCAGTAAAGCGTCGCCATTCTTGAGAACATAACTGAAGAGTGGCAGGAAGTGGAGAGGTCAAGTGCCAAGTGTGGTGGACTGGTGTCTAGGTGACAGCTCGGCTTCTGAGTTGGCAATCCCCCTCCCCTTGCCTGGTCATGGGGATTTTACTACATATTTCTTGTCCCCCTACTCATTGGATAATTGATTTTCTGTAGTTTCTGTTGATGACTATTGGAAAAAACATAAAGAAGTTTTGCAGCTCGGCACCTATGCTTGGCGTTTAGGGTGCTGGCCACAATGCACCCAAGCTGGTAGGTTTGAATCTGGCCCAGAGCCTGCTAAACAACAATGACAACAACAACAAACAAATAGCCAGGCATTGTGGCAGGTGCCTATAGTCCCAGCTACTTGGGAGTCTGAGATAAGAGAATCACTTAAGCCCAAGAGTTGGAAGTTGCTGTGAACTGTGACACCACAGCACTCTACCAAGGGCAACATAGACTCTGTCTCAAAAAAAAGAAAGAAAAGAGTTTTGTCTCTAGTTTTATTTGGAATCAGGAGAGGTTGGGGGTGAGGAGTTGGAATAAGGGGAATGAAACAGCAGACCTCACTGTGCTAGAACATCTTCTGGCCTCAGCAGCTTCTCCCTCCCTGTACCTTCATTTCTCTGGGTTCCCGGTGTCAACAACGTGACAGGGGACCCAGCTTCTTTAATGCACTGATGATGTGATTTGCTTAGGAATCAACTTCATTTCCTTTCCCGTCATTAGGTGTTCCTTGTTGAAATTTTCTTCCCTTCTCTTTGTTCTTATCTCTGGCAAATCCCCAAACCTCTGATCACTTTTAGATATTAGAATAGTCTTCAAGGCTTCGAATCAAACATCAGTCACTCTCACCTTAAAAGATATGCCCCTCCCCATCTGATCAGTTTTGACCCAACAATAGGGAAAGGATGAGGTTACGTCTTTCATTCTTCATGTTTCATATTATCATCATATAATCATGCTCGGAGGTAGACAAAGGCAGATGAGTGGAACAGAAGCATAAAGTCTCTCTGACCAGCTGGAGGAGTTTTTCATTTTCTCATGGATGTAGAAAGTCCTCTGTGGTGGCAGGTGTTTACATATGGCTCTTGATGGGCGCGTGGGTCAAAGTTTGGAGAGTCTCTGAAGGGGTCTTCACATTATTTCCCTCATTTCCCACACTCCTAGTCAGGATGGCCTTACTGTAAATCTTTATATAGGAACTGATATGACACAGTCCTTCTCTGGATGGCTGGGACGTGTGCCTGCCCCAATCCCACTGTTGCCTCTTCCTTCCAGGTGTGAAAGATCCTAATTCCAGTTGGCCTTGCCTCCTCAGCCCCTGCTGTCTCTTAGTAATCTGCTCCCGCTGCTGGGATCTCTCTTCTTGGTGTGCAGCCCTCTGGGATGTAGATTTGCACATTTTGGGATGCCTGTTTGGCTCACAAAAATGAGAATAATGCCCATGTCCTGCAGAATTGTAGTAGGGAACCTGCTCTCCCCTCTGCCCCTCTCTCCTCCCCTTACCAGTGAGGCAACTCCAGACTTCAGACAACTTGGGCAAGAGTCAGACCTTGGTTTTCACGTACCCTAAACTCCTAGGGAGATGAGTCCAACTTTCCCAGGATTCTCCTGGACTGTGCTCTGACGCCAGCCTGGAGCAGACCTAAGAGTGTCTGTAACTCAGCCAACTGACAACAGAGAGTAAGGTCCCCACTCCTCTCTACAGAAAGTAACCTCCATCCTTCTGAGCCGTTTTCCAGGCAGCTCCGGAAGTGTGCCTTCCTTTCCTGGCAGTCGTGGACACCTGCCAAGCACTTCCTACCAAGCTCACATCTCTGCCTCTTTCACTTGGTGACTGCTGGACAGTTAGTCCTCTCTTTTGGAAAGCCTTGTGAGTAAGACTTATCAGTCATTAAACTCAGAGATAGAAAGATGGCTGCATGACCGGAGTGGGGATCCCAGCAGCAGAAGCAGATGTGTGTGCAGGAGGGATTGCTGAGCCAGGGCAGGGGCTGAGGAGGGGCCGTGAAAGGTAACGGAGGACAGCATTGCTCACACGGGGAATAAAGAGGTAAAGGTGGGGTCAGAGAGGGCACAAGGGCCCCATGAGATGTCCCCACGGGGGAGACACTGCTGTGTGTTCACTGAACCCGGTTTTCTTTGCTCCTAGACACATGGATAAACTCATGTCACAGCCTCCCCATGGTGACCAAGGGTAATGTGGCCCAGTTCCAGCAAATGGAATGTGGTCAGGAGTGAAACATGACACCTTCTGTTCCGGGCAACAAAAGTCTTCTGTGTGCAAATCTATTCTAACTTTCTATTCTGTGATTGAAAATGAAAGTAACAAATGATACAAGAATCCGTGGCCTCTGAATGTCTGGGCACAGTGAGCTTTCCCCCTCTCCAGACTCACGTAAGGACAACGATGTGAAAGAAAACCAGGGGGCAGAGGGTTGGCCATTTGGACATATTTTTCATTGCTGGTAGTGGTGAGAGTGGCACCCTACTTCTCTTTCTGTCTCTCTCTCTCTCTCTCTCAATTTTTTTCTGTTTCTCTCCCCTGCACCTAGCCTTTGCTGACTATCAGTTTTGTTATCCGGTTGTTTACAAATTACTTCATGATTGGCCCCTTCATAAATTTTACTTAGTGTACTGGACAGAGATGAGTACAATCTTCATGAAGGGCGATTTGAAGAATTCACACCAATAGCTTTCTTAACACTTAACATTTCACGAATCAGTAATTAAACTTCTGCTCAGCAAATAATCAGAAGTGTCCATAATACTCATGATAGCATTGTTTAATCTGCATTTGAGAAGAGACAATCTAAATATCTAACAAAAAACAGTCAGTTAAATGAAGTATGAGAAATCCACACGGCAGAGTTTTAAACTGCCATATAATTCATAGTTGCTAAAAATATCCAATCACGTGGAGAAATGATCTGGATTAAATATTATGTTAAGGAAACTGATAACATAATAGTATTATAGGGAATTACAAAACTAGATTGACAATTGTAAGGATGTTTTACATACACATAGAAGTAAAAATAACACTGTATGAAATGTACCGAATGTTGTCAGAAAATATCTCCCCATGTGTGAAAATTTTAGGTGATTTATGTATTCTCTGTTATGCTTTTCTGTGATTTTCATGTTTCTGCTATAAACACAGGTTGCTTTAATTGCTTAAAAAATTGCTAATATAAAAAGCCCTAATCAAGCTTTAACTTATTCCTAATTTTTCTTTTTAAATTTAGGATGAGGTATTTATAGATTTTTCTTTTTTAAATCAGCAAAGTTAGAGAAAAATCTTTCCACCTCCTCTGTGCCAATTTTGAGGTAATTTGTAAAGTGTTGTTTTGTACAAAGGCCAAAGCTGAACAGCCCGAGGTCCTGACAATTTAGGGGGGCTGAGTGCCTGTTTGGAGAGTGCTGGGATGACAGTGAGGCATGATTGCCAATGTGGAGGTGTCAACTATGGCTCCTCAACAGGGACCCCCTTGAGATTCTGATCTATTGAGCTGTGTCTAATCCTGTTTTTCTGTTACCCAGGCTAGAATGCTGGGGTATCAGCCTCGCTCATAGCAATCTCAAACTCCTGGGTTCAGTTGATTCTCCTGCCTCAGCCTCTCGCCAATCCTGTTTTTTTTTTCACTTATCAGCTGTATAATCCTGGGCCAGCCACTCGACTTGCACATTCCAATTCCTCCTCTCCCAGCCAGGCACTGCATGGGCTTGGCATCAAACCCAGTTCCAAACCTGAGTGCCACCTCATGCAGGTCTACGATCCTTCTTGTGTGACGCACCAAGGAAAAACCTGTTGGTGCTGACCCCTATACAGAGAAAGCCAGGCAACTCTGACTCAGTTACCATATCCCCAAAGTACATTAACACTTTCTGTACATGTCAGTTGCAACGGGGAATGTGGGGGGTTCTTGCAGCATAATGAGGAATAAAACCAGAGTAATAATGATAATGATAAGAAGAACATCAAGAAAATTAAAGGAGTCCTGATTATCTCTCTGGTGCTGCGAGTGGATTTTCCACTTTATCTCATGTTCGTTTGCCCCCTTTTACATATGGGTAAACTGAGGCTCAGAGAGAGGAGTTAGCAACTCCTCAAAGGTCCCACCTTCAGAAGTGGTCAAGCTGAGATAGGCACCTTAGCTGTCACACTGCAGGGGCTGACCTGTCAGCCATTTTTTTATATTGTCTTTTTACTATCTTATCTACTATAGTTGTTATTTATTTGGGGTATCTTTTTCAAGTAGTATTTGAAATGGTAAATTGTGGGATTATAATTAAAAATGGTATTGTAAAATTTGGGTGAGATCTCCGGGTATTCGTGCATGCCTGTGTCCCTGTGGGGGTAGTGACAAGAGCATAGGATCTGGACCTCGGTGTATCTGTGCCGACTGTCCAGTTAGGTATGAAACTTACTAGTTGCCTAAGTACTTGTGACAAATCACTTAACCTCTCAGGGATGTGTTTTTCTCTTTAAAGTGGGAATAACAATAATGCTTTTCCGAATTATTTGTAGAGATACGAGAAACTGTTTAAGTTAGTGACAGCTAACAGAAACCACAAGTCCTCTATGCCAGGCACCGATCTAAGCCCTTCCTGGATATTAAGTCATTTCACCCTCACAAAAACTCTATGGTCATTTTACAGAGAAGCAAAGTGAGGAACAGAGAGGTTGGACAACTTCCCCCAGGTCACATAGCTAATAAGCCGTGGGGCACTTTTACCCACTTAGCTGTGAACTGCTTGTGTGGTCTCAGCATGACGAAAATGCCTCACAAATGTTGGCTATCATTATTACGCACGGCAGTGATGTTCAAACTACTATTAAATTAGCAGGACCTTATTCAAAAGAAAGCTTTAAGAAAACTTGCTATATGTTGTACAGTAAAGGTGGAGCCTCTTTCCTTGAAGTGGGGACAAATACTCCTTCCCAATCCCTCCCTCACCTATAGCAGCCCAAAGGCACTTCTGGAAATGCTGGGGCTCTGAGGAACCCAGTCTGGAAACCGCCAATTCTGGTTTTCACCTTCTTTGTGTGTGTGTCTCTGCTTCTGCCTTTCGTACCCCTGGTCTATGCTGAGCCCGACAAGTCATCAGCCAGGACACTAGAGACCAGAATACCTCCCCTAGGCTCCTCTCAGTCTACCGCTTTGTCCCTGCTCAACCAGCCCTGACACAGGAGGTGGCCACTCGGAGGAGGGGCAGGAGGCTGGGCTGCAGACTCACCGGTTTTGTCTGAGTTGCAGAGGATGGTTTCCTTCTCGGCTCTCACGCCCGGGCTGGGGCCGTGCTTCATCCACATGGTGATAGTGAACTGGTCCGTGAGGTTCTTGGGCACAATCCCATCAGGGATCTTGGCACCCTGCCTGCCGTCAAACTTGAAGATCATCTCACTGCTGTCCACCAGCAGTCCTGTGGTCCAGTTGGTGGCAGCACTGGGGGATGGCAAGAGGTCAATGATGCCAGAGGAGGCTCCTGCAGGGGGTGGGACAGAAAGGACAAAGGGTCATTCCTCACTACACAGTTGTTCTCACCTTCTGATGAACTACTCAGTGAACTTATTCAGGGAGGTCTGTGCCTAGTCCTGAGCTAAGTGACTTGGGGAAGGAAGTGCCAAATCCCATGGCAGCCCCCAGGTTGCTTATGGTCAGATTGGGAGGTATCAGTAACTACAGGTAAAAGTACTGTATATGGCAAGAGAGAGTGCAAGAAAAAGCAGAGTTGGGAGGGCTCTTGGGTCTTTTATTAGCAATGAGGGTTACTAGAGAAGGCTGGGGTTCGACTTGGACAGACAGACTCCTTCAGGCACCCATCATTCATTAACCTGTCAGCCATCTGTTATGCACAGATCATGTACCAAGACCCCTGCTAGGGGCTGGCCACATGAAGGTGAGTCAGACACAGTCCCTGACCTGGGGAAGCTCAGAGCAAACAAGTTGGCCTAGCATGGTCAGGGCCATGATTTGGGAATGTTCTAGCTCCTGCTCTCACAAGGAGGACCGTGCACTCATCACTCTGTATGCATCACACTTTTCTACAACCATATGTCGAGGTCACTACAGTGGTTGAGAACACAGGTCAGCAAAACCTGAACTTGACACCTTGTGGCCTGATTTGCTAGTTTTGTAACTATAAGGCCCAAGCTTTCTCACTCTGTATTTTCTCTTCCCTGTGAGTCGAGAGGACTGAATGAGATAGTGCACTGGGGCCTGTGGCAGCAGCACACTCCCTGTGTGATGAAGGCCCACACAGTGTTTGCTGTAACATTATCATCGACATCAGTATCATTATCATATCAGTAGCATCATTATTTCTGCTACTACTATTATTTCAGACTAAGGCAAGAGGAGTTAACTTGAAGCAGTGGGAGCGTATCAGGAGAAGCACTCCACAGCTTTGCAGAGAGCTGATGGAAGAGGGCCCGGCTGGCTTGGCAGGAAGACTGGACTGCCCTGCTAGGAGGATCCTTGGGCCTCTGTTGACTCTCCCTGGAGGCTGAAATGCACAGCTCCATTCCACACAAGAGCAGGACCCAGGCTCTCACGAAAGAAGGTGAGCCAGGAGCTTCTTCTTATTTTCAAGTAATGAGAGCGGAGGATTGTAAGCTGTGCCTTGTGCTGGGGGTCGGTGGGCATGGGGCTCCCTCCTGCATGGCACTGACCAGCCATCACAACTCTGATGGGTCTAACGGACAGTGCAGGTGTGTATTACCTGCTCTTTGCCCATCATTACTGGAGTTTTGGCCTCTGTATATCAGAGGCTCATCTCTCTTAGGGTTAGACTTTCAAAGTCAGTGGCTACCAAAAATCCACTACAGTTAAAATTCGAAACTCCCTCTGCAATGTGCCTTATTAGCAACCAAGGTAATTCTTTGAAAATGTTCAAGTCAGACAGTTTTTCCTCCAGTTTTGGAACCGATCATCAGGTCTGTACCTGTCAGCTTGGAATTAAAGGTTACGCCATGAGAAAACTATTTATTGTTAGAGCCCAGATGTTCTGCTAAGCACCCTGGGAGTTTCACCCTGGGAGAGGCCTCTGGCACTGTGGTGTCTGAGAAGGTGGAGACTCAGGTCTCCCCATCCAAGTTCATGGGGAAGTGTGGACAGAGTTAGTGGTGTTATTTTTGTTGGTATTTCCTAGGGATTTTGCCTGGTGCTGCAAATACACATAGTAGGCACTAAGTTAATGTTTACCATGGTCTATCTTCCCTCCCAGGGCCCCCAGGAGATGCTGCTGGCACTGCACTCAGTGGTCAGGTGAGCCTGCCCATCCAGCCCTGTCCATGCCTTACCCCTCTCCTCATACTTCCTGCTCTCATGCCCTGCTCCTAGATCCTTGATTGCTATCCATGCCCCTTACCTGATAAACTACTTTTCACACTAAGGTTTTATAACCAACAAAGCCTTCATCCTCCTTTGATACCATCCTCCACAGGTATCTGTAAGAGCGTCTATTAAAGTCAAAGCAGGTACAGATTTATGGGTGGTTTGGGAGTGGGAGGCATATGAATTTTGGGAAAAAATTAATTTTCTTAGCACTCCTAGAATACAATACAGCCACAACTTCTTTGATCCGTGAAGTACATAGGGTCTGACACCAGTCTTTGCTAGCGTGAAGATAGCCAGTGACTGGACACACTTGGAGTAGTCTGGTTCCTGAAATCTAGCACGGTCAGAGAGATACAGGCTGAGTGCTCTGGGGTCTACCTTGAGCCTATGGCACCAATACAGTCTAGCAGAGCCCAGGGCAGAGATGGCAGCTGGCGAGGCCAGCTTTGCCACCTTTTATAGAGACCAGGCCTCCATACAGGGATGTGGACTTGACCATCCAACACTGCAGGGTCCTTCTCCTCGTTAAGGGTTTGCAGTTTTGTAGAATTCACACTGTCTTTAATGCTTCATGTTAGTGAAGAATTGATTGTGAATTTCCCCCAAAGGTTTGGATGGAGTGAAAGTGAGGGTGGCATGGAGCAAAGAGTGCATGGGGTGATCAGGAGGACTTCACAGGGAGGCTGGGGGGCAGAACTGGTGCTTACAAAATAACCCAGCCCTGGCTGGGATTATAGATATGTCTATAATAGTGATGTGTACAGATGTGTCTATATAGATGTGCACAGAATTTTATTTCTTTATAGTTATAGACCTTCACTCTTTTCTTATGAACTTTTCACTGGGCACCCAGTGGGTGCCAGGCCTGAGTTAAGAGCCTCACAAGCTTTTTCTCAGTTATTCGTGTGTGTGATGAGTACTATCAGATTCTGGTTTACAGATAAGAAACCTGAGGCTGGGAGAGCCCAGGACCTCAGCTGGCTGGTGAGCAGGCCATCGTCAGGACTTCCCAGCTCCAAAGCAATGCACCCCACTGCACCACCTCATGGGCCTGGAGGCAGATCTTATCACCTCCTGCTCATTTGGCAGACACGGAACTGAGGCCACAGAGGGAAATGACTGGACCCAGATTGCACAGTCATATGGCTAGTTAGAGGCAGGCTCTACTCTGAGGGTCACTCTTTCTACCACACTGTAGGTAGTATGTCCCAGAGATGGGCCAGCTAACTGCTGAGTACAGACTAGTCTCCTGGGACCCCACCCCCCTACACAGGCTGCTGCTTCCACAGAGAGGCACGCCAAGGATGACAAGTGCCCTGGCAAAGCCATCACTGTGCAGCTCCTTTGTCTTCCCAGAGAGGGGGCAGCGGGCCATCCTCCCTAGCCACAGATGTTGCCTGCCAGCAAGCATCAAGCTGCCTTTAACCAGATGGTGCAGACTTCGACAAGCTTAACAGATTGTAGTTCATTTCTTGGTACCCTTAAACAAACTGAGAGAGATTTACTCTCTCGAAGGTTTTCCTGCCTCTCTCCTCCCCAGGGATCCCTGGGGAAAGCAGTGGGTAAACAGGATGCATCACTTGCGGAGGTAGAGCGGCACCATCTGCACACCAGGGTGTATGTAAGATGCTCCTTTGGAATCCCCCCTGGGGCCACCGGGCTGCTGAGCATTCACACCGGCCTGGGGCACAGCAGCTGCAGCTCAAGTGCTGGGAACTTGGAACCCGAGGTGAGGGTTCCTGGATCCTCCTGGGTAGGGGAAGCCACTTGAGCCAGCAAACAGGACAAGATGAATGAGGCAGATTTCATGGTGCACTGCCGTGTGAAAGCCCACATGGGAGCAAGGGTAGCAGTTGCTGTCTAGAATTCTTAACTGACAGGTTTATATTCTGCTTTGGATGGCCTTGGTGAGACCATGGGGGTGCTTAGCCCTTCAAGGGGCCCATGGAAGGGTGACTGATGTGGAGCCCTCAGGTAACACCTTCTAGAGTTTACTTGAAGGCATGGGCAGGGGCAGGGGCAGGAACAAGTGGGAGGGTCTCAGGGGGAACAGCAGTGTAATCAGGGACACAGGCTTCATTCTACAGAATGTTCTCACTGTCAGCAACGCCAATTGCACACTCTGCCAGCAAACGTTTGTGTGACGTCTAACGTATGCCAGGCACCGTCATGAGAATGTAGCAGGGAATCAGACAGAAGCAGCTGTACCTTTAGAGACGTAGAGGAAGTCTTATTTTCTAGAAAAAGCAACATGGTTCAGAATCTCAGGGGAACCCAAGGAGGCCAACACAAGTGCCACATGGACTGCGTGGTGGTAGAACATATCCTATTCACACATCCTTCTCTATGATGCCAGCTTGGCCATGTGACTTCCTCTGACTGATGAAATGTGGGTACAAGTGACATGTGTCCTATCAGGGCAGAAGCTTGAAGAGCCAGGCATGGTTCACCAGGTCTTTCCCATCTGTCACAGAATCAACAGTGTTCTGGATCAAGCATGTTTCACTAGCCTGGCACCTGGTGAAGAGAAAACATGAGCCACAGCCAATCCGAGGACATGTGGTGGGAATGACAAACAAATCTTGTTATTTCAGTGCCCCAGGAGAGTCTGCAGCCGTTTGTTCCTGCAGCATAACCTGTCCTATCCTGACTGATAATCCACATCTGCGAGGACATCAGGACATCAGACACAATTCCTATTTCTCCACCTCTATACCTTATACCTTATAGGTGTGGAGAACTTTCTGATATCCTTTCTAGAGCACACACCCTGCTGATCCTACAATCAGACTATCATTCCACCTCTAAAACCCTAGACAAGAGGTTCCTCTAAGACCTGGGAATCAGAAAGTTGGATCTATAGGTGAAGTGAGATGGGTTTTGGATGAGGGGTGGCTGGCCAGGCTCCTGGGGCAAGGTCATGGATACCAAGTTGCTGGCCAATTTGGGCAAGGCCATTACAGGCAAAAACCACCTCCCCATACAGGAGGGCGCTACGTAAAGTAGCTGCTTCGACCACCTCAGAGAGATAAGCATATGCAGAGAGAAGCCCACTGTTCACTGCCATCACCCAAGAGTCAGTGTGTGCAACCCTGTGCTGTGTGTGATTAGTGCTGTGACCTGATTCCGGACAGGTGTTCACCTATTTTCCATGAGAGGCCCACATCAGCTCTCTGGGAATGGAAACAGTGGTTCCAACGCGGAGGTTGATACTGTCGCCCCTGGAAGTTGCAGTTCTTTAGAAGTGTCTTGAAGAAAGCCCTGCTAGCTTTCTGTAATTGGGTTATTCCGAGGATATAAAAGCCTCTGATGGTGATTTTTAGTGAGAACAAGTTCTGTTAAGCCACAAGGTATAATGGAAAATCATGGACTTTCATACCTTACAAAAAATAGCATTGTAATTTTTTTAACATGTCTGTCTTCCCTAGGACATTGGATTGGTTTTTTCTTTTTTAAGTTTTAGAAAAATTTTAATTGACCTATAATAAAATTATATATACTGAAGGTAGCAAAAAATGTATACGTATTTTAAGAAAGGAAACACCTGTATTCAAATTGTCCTGTGAGGAACAGGATGAGGACCGCCGCTGGCTTCCACGCTAGGGAGAGCACTTGCTCACAAACTACTTTTCTGTATTTCATAAGATGTAGTGACATACGGAAATCAAAGCGGGCCTTTTCTTGGGCTGTTTGTTCATGTCAAAATTAATTTGGCCGAGAGGTCCCATGAGGGGTTCATGGTGCAGGTCATACTTCAGACTGTTCTGTGACACTCACTTCTGGAAAGCCTAGTGCTGAAGCTTAAAGCCCTTTATCTGAATTTCTGAATTCAGAGGAAATAAAAAGAGTTGGCCCAGCTTCTCCAAGAAGCCTGGCCTCATGAAGGTCAAGGCAGTCATGGGCGGGGGTGGGGTATCTTTGGTTATGTCTGGGCTTACTAGCTGACAGGGACATAGCTCAGGGCCCTCTATTGCCTTTGTCCGAGGCAGAATGGAAGCGTCTCCATGTGCCCATCTCAGGAAGCAGTATCCCTGACACCCAGTGCTTCTCTGGGGCCCAAGGGGATCTCCAGTGCTGCTGCATGTGCTCAGGTACTTCTTGACAATATGGAGTATGTGTAACCCTGTGCTGATGGGGTTCCTCCAGGACCTTGGAATCAGAAACTTGGATTTCTAGGCGAAGCAAGATGGGTTTTGGAGGAGGGGTGGCACCAGCTTGACACCAGCTGTCATCTGACTTTTCCTTCTCACTGCTCCAAATAAGCCCATGTTGCGTGCGGAGGAAGCAGGCGAACGATCACCAGATTTTCCCGGTGATCTCCTGGGGACACAGGGAGACCCTCGTGGAGGTACCACACACTGACTCCTGGTGCGCACGGAGGGTAGGGAATATTGACAGAGGGGAAGGGTTGGAAAAGTGAAGGGGAGAGGGAGCATCCCG